CTTTTCCATTCTCTTATTTCATAATGTTTGCAGTAGTTGTCTATTGTTGTATTATAAGTCCCCCCTCTTCCCTAACAGAACCTACAGCAGTAAATGTCTGTTCCACCACAGCTCCTGCAGGCTCCAGATGCTGACCAGCTGTGCTGGTGCACATGGTGTAGACCAGCTCATCTAGGTCTGATCAGCTGCACTGGTGCACATGGTGCAGACCAGCTCATCTAGGTCTAACCAGCTGCACCGGTGCACATGGTATAGACCAGCCTTTCTAGGTCTCTGCTCAGGGTCTTTCACATGAGTGTTGTAGTGATTTCAAGACCAAATAAACAAAACAAATATGTTAAGCACACATAAATAAAAAGGTAAAGATCTTCCCAAGATCAGTTGGACAAAATGATGATCTAAGACAGGACCCAGAGAAAGGTGGGTTCCTGTACATGGGCATTTGATACATGGCAGAGGACCATTTGAAAGTTTTTAAGTAGAGACTATTTAGTGAAGTGGGATTATTTTTCCACAGGGAGATAAATGAAGATAAATATGACATCACACCATGTACAAAGACCATTGCTAAAGTTATATATTAAAGGCAGAGCAATAAAGCCTTAGAGGAAAATATCTAAGTTTAAATCTTTCTAATTTCTAGTTAGAAAAAAATTAACATGCAGAAAAGCATAGGACTTAAATTAAAATAAATTATTTTATTTTATTTGTACACACACATACACACACTCTCTCCTGTGCACAGATATGTTGTAGGTATATGTAGAAGTCAGAAATTGACATTGGGATACAGTTCCTCAATTGCTTCTTCACCATATTGCTTGAGTCATGAGCTCTCTCTGCCTAGAGTTTACTGTTTCAGCTAACTAGCTGGTCCGTGAGACCTTGGGATCCTCCTGTCTCCACCCTTCAGCAATGGGGCCACAGGCATTCACCACCATGCCTGGTAACTGGGTGGTGTGGATGCTGGGGATCCAGACTCAGGTTCTGTGCTTACCCAGCAAGCTGCTTACTCACTGAGCATCTCTCCAGCCCCAGAAACGCTTTTTCAAGCACAATAACGTGGGAAAGCAATTATAAATGTAAAGACACATAGCTCATAAAGTGGTGTGGTGTATGGCGGTGGGTGGGGATGCTCTGCTATAACCCACCCAAAATGGAAGAATAACTTAGATTCTTTATGACAAAAGGAAATGTACACAAAAGGGACAGCGAGGAACAGTGATATGAAAAGATGCCTGGCCTCGTTAGTAGCTGGGGAGATGGGTATCACAGTGTGACGCCTTGGCTAGCTTGATGGAATCAGGGAAGATGCCATGCTGAGCAGCCTCAGTGTCAGAGAAGATGCAGAGCAGAACCCTCTTACATAATGGAAACAAGATGAAATTCGTAGACACTCCAGAAGTACATCTGCATGGTATTGAAGTGCTGTTCCCTAGATAAATCTCTATTGTGCAAGGACAACAAGAACATCCACCAGGAAAGTGGTTTATATCAGGACAGTTAATTTTAAGCAAAAGTTTAAAGAAATCCCAGAGAGCCACTGTATCTGGACATATCAATTGTAGCATGCTGATCATTAGAATATTAGACTGTAGTGAAAAGAAAGTGTGCTTATTAAGCAACAATGATACATCTAAGAATTATCATATACAGCGAGGGAAAAAAACAAAGTTTTTCTGGCATGTTCCTTTTTGAGATTCCTGAATAAGAATAAATCTTATTCTCAGGAATTCTTAGAAGTTTCAAAATTATGTTTATTTTAAACATACTTCTAGCAATCTTTACACTCCATTATTTGGATAGCCAAAGTTCATGTTTGAAGAATGAAATACATTAAGTTGAATAGTGCTTGCAAAAACTACAGCTTATAGAAATCAGTAAGTCAAATAATGAAAATTCAGATCTCCTCGCAAGGCAACAGCCTCTCATGCAATCACATGAGGCCACTGACCACTAAGGCTTTATTTTACAGTAAAAACGTGGGATACTTTGCAGGAGCAGAGAACTTACAGGAAGCACACTGGACATGAACTCTATGTGTGAACTCAATAGTGTGCTACAGCAAGTGAGTGAAGACTCGAGTGGATATGCATTGTTTGATATGGGTAAGGCTTTGTCAAGGATCTCAGTCTCTCAGGTCCATCAGAGTGGCAAATCATCTCCCACTCGCGATGAGTCTCAGAGGGATGGCAAAGTCCTCCTCTTGTCTGTGTGTAGGTGGACATGACATCCATGTTGACAGAGTGAGCAGAAAATGTGCACTGTAACTTTCTTGCCCCAGATGTTTATGGGGGAAGACTGCACCCCATTCAGAGTCTATGCCTACAGTAATTAGCTAAACCTGCCTCCTTGCTCAGGTGGATGCAACAGCCCTTCTTCCCCATTCAATTGTGTCTAATACTCTGTGCTTCTACGGTACTGTGACTTGTCCATCAGTCTGTTCCATCCAATCTCAGCTTTTCTGTCATTGTGTCTCTGGGTGCCTGTCTTTTCTTCATTCCATCACTGCCCCAGCAAGTCAGTTCACAGAGCTGTGCAAAAAGCCCCACTGTGTACTTATCATTGAGAACAACACACTGGGGTCTGTACTGCCGAGAGTAACAGGACCGCTAGGCAATCCCTGATGGAGGCTGGCCCAGATGCTTCTCTGGGAGGCTGCTGGTATCTAGTGCAGGTCCTCCTCTGATTCCTACTCCTTCCCTCATTGGCCTTCTCCCTGACTTCAGGAGTTCACACCAACTGATATCAACTCTAGCTTTGTTGTTAGGTGTTGTTCTTGAAGAACTAATTACGGGTACTAACTATAATACCTCCTCCCAGGTTTTCTGATTCTCACACTGACTTTTCCTTAGAATTTGGGATTCAGAGAACAGTGCAAACATTTCTGAGAAACACACACAGATGGAAATCCTGTCTGGAGACAGCACTGGAAGCGATGGGCAGTATGAAGGCACTTGTTTAAACCTCTCAAGTGTGAAAAAAAAGTGGGGATGTGATGTGACAGTGGCCATGTAATGAGCGACAGGCGGCAGAACCGGAAAGCCACAGGTGGGTGGGAGCTGGGGGCTGCTTTCTGGCTCTTTGCCTGGTGATGGAACTCAAGGGTTTCTGGTGCTTGTGAGCACAATCATGCACCGTATCAAAATGATGCTTCAGAAGAAAGAACAGCAAACACTCAGAGCAGAATATAATGATTGCTTTCCTTGATATGATTTTAACGTTCATCTCCCCAAAGGATGAAATTCACATTGTCCTTTCTGTCACACACACACACACACACACACACACACACACACACACACTCATATTTGATTCCAGATACCTTCCTATCTTCGATCTCAGTATTACTTTTCTTTGGTTATGTGTCTAAGGTGGAGGTTGTGGTCGCTGGGCCAACTGTGCCAGCAGCTACCTGGAAGCTGGTTAGAATTGCTGTTTCTGCAAACCCCATTCCACATCTAAGCAAGAAAGGGCTCAGTGGGGTCTGTTTTTAACTAGTCCTCCAAGGAGCCAGTGGAAGCAATTTGAGAACCATGGTGCTATAGGCAGAAGCTAAAGACCTTAAGTGAACCAAATATGGACAATATAACTGTAAAAAGATTTAATCTAAAGCAAATACAAAGGACTTGCCCTACAGAACCAGTATTATTGCTATATGCCTGTGGTAGTTCCGGACTTTCTTAATCGTTACAATTCTGCTCCCAAACTTCAGGAATGAACTCAGTCTGAGCACACTCTTCCCTGTAGGGCAGTGGGCCGAGTGTGTGTTCACTGATAGAAATCATTTCAAATGGGGGTCTGAAGAGCACTCATGGGAACTCAAATAAAGGACAAGGCAGGCAAGAATCTGTAATCCTAGCTCTCCTACATGAAAATGGAAGGTCCAGTCAGGAGGCTCTGAAACTCAAGCTCCCTATGTGTACACTGTAGATGTGTACACTGCATACACACACACACACACACACACACACACACGTAAACACACTAAAACTTTTAAAGAAGTAATCAAATGTTTTTTCCTTCCTCTTTTTGCCTGTATGTAATAGACACAGAACAGAAACGGAAGAGTTGATTGGGGATGGGGATGGGGCAGATGGGCAATGACTGTGATTGGGATGTAAAATAAAGAAATAAACTAATTAATTAAGAAAGAGATACAGTTTAAGTATTTCTTTCATATAGAGTGAAAGACTTCATTTCAGCATTGCAAGGACTGCAGAAAATCAGAGACGAAGCCCTTATTGTCTTGATTCTCAAGTTTGCTAGAGTTCATGTTACAGTGAACACAAACCTGAGTCTGCATTGTTTGGGAACGTCTTTTTATTGTGATAAGACACGTACTAGATCGCTGTGTTAACTGCTGTCAGGCCTGAGATTAGCAGCATCACGAGCAGCATATTCACATTAAGTGGCCGTCGGCTGCAAGCTTCTATTTCTCGAACTTCATCATCTTAGACAGAAACTCTGAACATACTAACAACAACTACACACTCTTAGCCCTTAAAACCTGGAGACCTCTCATTTTCTTGTTCCTACGAATCTTCATATTCATAGGAAGTGAAATCCCAGTCCTCTGTGTGTGCCGCATCTCACTGTATCTATTTCCCAAATTCATCCGTGCTGCAGCAAGGCTGAGTAATATTCCCTTCTAGGCACCACCACATTGTTGCTCTGTTGAGAGGTCTGTCTCATTTCTACTCTCCAGCCATTCAGCACAGCCCTGCTGTGAACCCTGCCCTAGACTTCTTCCTAGGCCTCTTTTCAAGTCTTCGGGAGCAGTAACACCTAAGAGCAGAATTGGTGGGTTGTTTATTTGAGGCACTGACAGATAGCTTGTCTTGAAGCATTCTTCATTTCTACCAGCACCGTAAGAGGCGTCCAGCCAGGAATACCTTTGTGTACCCATCCCACGTGATTTCCCAAGGGAACAACATCGGTAAAGGTGAGTTTTCACCTACAGGTGAAGAGCAGTGGTTAAACAGAAAACGAAAGTAAGAGGCATTAAAGGCGAAGATTTGTACTTTCTTCCTGTTTGGCGAACTTTCCAGGGATCTGCAAGTGCTGCTGGCACAAGCCCCTCTGTCAGTAGGTAACGTGAAAATTGAATTTGCTGTTGGTGATGAAGTTCACGCCTGTTTTCTTTGGGGGGACATTGATTTGAGATTAGAGTTTACTGGAACCTGGTAATTTCAGTAGTGCAAATGCAACAAAATGTTACTTTAAAATAGAGCATAAATTCAATCAGGGGGCCAAGGCAATTACGGGAACACACTCCATTCGAATGTCCTTCTGGGGCACTGTGGCAGCTGCAGCCAGTTCTGAGCAGGGGGGAGCAGCAGCTGCTTACACATGCCCTAGCAAGGCGAGGCTTTGGAACTCCATCATAGAATCCCTCCTGGGCAAAAGAGAGGCCAAAATTGCTGGAGAGGGAGGAAAGCTAAGGGCTTCAAATAAACTCAATCTTCAAGAACGGTTCAAGGTGCTAAGACAGAGCCTTGCTGCTGCAGTACATCCAAATCTGGGCTCTGCGTCATAGCAAGAGAGGTGATTTAGGTGGAGAAGAGGGGAATCATGCCTGTATTTCCCAGCGTGTTAGTGGCTCATTCACAGCCCAGACAGGCAGTATTTACTAACCTAGCTTTCATTTCGAATATGCTTGAGGCTTGGCCATGCTAAAAACATCCTTTGGGTTTAAGCCACCTGTGGGTTACAAGGTTGTCAATGTTTAGAAGGATGCACCTGATCAATTCAGAATTCTGGGTAGGTAAAGTTTTTCTGATAATTGATTACTTGTAGCTTACAGCTTTGGCAATAAAAGGCCTTTCGTTGAAAACTGCATAGTTCTCAGTTAGGAATATGAGAATTAAAGGTTCTTAGTCTGGCCTCAGGACTGGGCAGTGAGTAGGTTGGTTGCCACTGCCTGGGACTCTCGTGACCTCATGCCCTGCCAAGAGCACACACCAGGCAGAACAGGAGGTACCTCACTAATTCAACAAATTGTATCTATGGTCTCATCTGGCCATACCCAGGGGCCCAGGAGTGTGACTTTTGGTCATTATGCTCAGCTGTATATGTGGTTGTCATGTAAAAAAGCCAAACAAAACAGACAGAAAATCAGTTTGTTGTCTGGTCAGAAAGGGGGGCTTCAAAGCAAGGAGGAAGACCCCAGTTCCCATGGGCTAAAAACCAGAAAGGTCAATTTAGTTTATTAAAGAGCTGATCCTTTTAGGTTCAGGATATAATATACTTCCTTAAATGCCATCTAATAGGAAATCAGAAACAGTCCAAAAGCACACTATTCCCTCTGGAGAAATTGACACAACATTAGCAGGACCAGACCAGACTCCAGTCCTTTTCAGCACGGAGTCCTGCCAGGCAAATATCCTTTAGCTTTTCAGAGTCCAGTTTGGAGCTGGGTCCATGGAGGTTTTCTGGTAGGTATATCTTTATCTCTCTCTACCTATATATGTCTATGTGCATGTGTATCTATACAGATGCAAAAACAAGAAAGTTGTATTCTGAAGTAGATTCATGGTGATACACACACACACACATATGTACATATATATATATACACATATATATATATGCACAAACAAATATATTTCCGTATAGATAACACATCAGTCAACCTATATGAACCAGATACTGATGGTGTGGCTTAGCCCCATGGGGACAGATCAACTAAGAAGATCGTTGAAAGGAGAATGAATGGGTTGATTCAAAGGTGAGGGTCCCAGGGCTAAGGTGAGATAAGAAGAGGCTTGCCTTAGAGAAGGCCCTCAGTCAGATGTGTGGTCAAAGCCAGCAGGCACTTGTGAAAGAAGAACACGATGTGAGCGTAACCTGAAGAGCATGGGATAAGGGATGCGATCCAGTCATGGAGTACTCCTGAGGAGTGAGACTGGTCATGCTTCAGCTTAGGGCCTGCTGTGCAATAAGAGAGTTGGCAGCAGGGTTCGCATGCATCAGTGGTGTTTGCCAGTGAGGGCAGTCACACATAGGACCAACACGCAGTCTTCATACAAAAGGAAATCCATCCTTGTGTAACTGGGAAGACTGGTTTATCACATACAAAGCAACCTGAGAACACATTGGCCAGTGAGATCATGGGACCACAGAGGTTCACAACAATACCTAGATATTCAGCATGGTCTGTGAGATCTACCCATGGAAGGAAGCTTGCACATCCTTCATGACATTAGCACAAAGGTGAAGGGTTGGAGACATTGTTGCTAAAGGGACTGTGTTTTTAGAAGCCCTGGAGCTGAAATCATATGCATGGTGTCTGTGCAGATCATGGAGGACTAACTTTGGGCAAGCTCAGGACTGTGCAAACCACGGGACTGAGCCCATGGATCCTATGGTGCCAAGAGAACCTAAGGAAAATTGAATGTGCTTGGCTATGAACTGAGGTTAAGATAGCCCTAGAACAGCGTGGAGGCAGATGGTAAGTGGGAGAATTGTAGATACAAGAAACAGGGTCTGAGGAACAGTCCAGTGAGGTGGTCCATCACCATGCCAACATGGGACCCAGAAATGGTACTGGTTTGGGAACAAGGTCTACGGGTAACGAATTTTGGCTATTAGAAGCAAGGATGACTTGAGAACTCCAAGTCTTTGTTGAGGAGGCAGAGAAGGTGTTGGGAACTGTGAACCCCCAGATCCTGAATTTCTTGTAAACCACTTGTTTTCCTCTGCTCTGAGACAGCCTGCAGCTGCTCTGAGCACAAGACCCTCAGGAGTTCCTAATGACAGGGGCGTGGTTTCTGGGGGGTTTGGCTGGGGTGAGGCTATCAGTTAAGGATCCCTATATAAACGGCTCTGGTACACAATAGGGGGCCATTCCTTTTTCAAGGATTTTGGCATCAAGGATGACCTGTGTCTCTGTCTGTGAGTCTTTGTGTGTTTCAATCTCCAGCCCCTTGCCCGGTTCATGAATTGTATGACAGCACATAGAACGCAGATGGGCATGATGCACCGCAAGAAGGGACGGGCATGATGCACCACAAGAAGAGATGGGCATGATGCACCGCAAGAAGAGATGGGCATGATGCACCGCAAGAAGAGATGGGCATGATGCACCGCAAGAAGGGACATTTTCCATGTGAGCTCCGGGCAGGAGAGCTGGGAGTGCTGTACTGTATGTAGCAATGTTGGAAGGTCATGCACACACACCTGTGGAGGGTCCATTGTTAGGAAGATGCTAGAAAAGATGAGGATCACTTCATCCCTGGCATCAGCTCAGGACTGGAAGTACAGGTTTGAGCATAGTCTAACTCTCAGTTGCTACATGAACATGTGTTAGGATCCCAGTAATTCTAATTTTTGTTGTGGTTGTTGTTAGTCCATGTGGAAAGAGAGCTTGTGTTCTCAAAATAGGTGAGTGCCATTTTTCCTTTATCTGAAAGTAGAATGGTAAAGTGGTGTCCTTGGTACAAGAATGGAGAGGAGAAAAATCAGCTCCTTAGGAACCTGTGACTCGCTGTGGATTTGAATCAGGTTCTTCGTGACTACTGAGGCTTAACACTGGGTATTTAGAGGAGAAAGAAGAAGGAATGAAAATGCTTATTGATCTTTAAAGACATTGCTATCAAATCCACGAAATGAACCCAAAGGTTCCTCCTCCATGAGATCTGGCCCCTCAAGCTAAGCCTTTCTTCTCTTAGTGAACGAACGTCAGAGCGTCTTTAACCTAAACAGGTTGTTTGTTTCCTCAGTGAGGTGTTCTTCCCAGAGAAATCTGTTGTTTAGTGTATACAGGTTGATTTGGTGGAATGATATTTGTGCGCGGTGTTATGTAAATAGAGTTACAGCCCATCTTTCTGATAGAAGCACAGGCTATAATTAGGATTATGTGCCCATGAAGAGAGGGGTGTGTGTGTGTGTGTGTGTGTGTGTGCGCGTGTGTGCGCACGGGCACATGCATGTAGAGGGCCAGGAGGTGGGAAGAAGCATAAGTGAACCCGTGCTAAAGTTCTTGATGTAAAGAAAGTCGCCAATTCACAAAGGAATTTGATTATCTCCATCCATTCTCCACACACAGTGAGCGAGTGTGCTCCGCGCCATCTGTCATCGATTTCATTTACATCGCCAGCACCTGGCCTGTTTATCTGCTACACTCGTTTCTTCACCCAATTCTTGTGCTGCTTTAATAAAATACAGAAATGTTATTGTTAAAAACCAATTAATTTACAATCCTCCACAGAGATAGTATTACTTATAATTCAATTTGGCTTCTAATGATCTGCTTTCTTGCAAAATGACTTAATTCTTGTGTCAAAGATTAGTTATTAGATATTACCCCCACCGTACCAACTGTGCACTGCTGAGGCAGCAGCGCAGCTTGGGATGTCCCTGGCCATTAATCAGAAGTCGGAATCTTTGCTTATTTAACTCTTCAAGAACTTGGTCCCAGGCTCGCTGCCCTGAACGCCCTCCGTCGATGATTCCCTTAGCTCCGTTAGGTTTCTCTTTATCTTTAATTAAAAATTCATATGCACATGTAGAATTTGAAAGTTGTCCTGGCTCGGTGTATCCGCTCCCGTTTTTATTTGGCTGTTTCCTACACGTCTGACATTCCTGCCCAGCCATTTTGTGAATGAACTGTGTAAAGCCCTCCACTCTGTAAACTCTGGTCTTTAGCTAAGAACGTGTGGATTTCCCAGGCAACAAAGCGGGGAGAGGTGCTGGGTCCCCTGTTCCCGCAGATCATCTGTACCCATAGGCAGGCAGGCCTGCTCGAAAGCGGCAGTCTGGCAGCCCTCAGCCACTTGTCCACACATTTCACAAATGGAATTGCTAAACATATGGCTATAGCCAGCATATTCTAGAAACATCAGCTTGGGCTAGAGGTATCCGAGAGAAATTTATTCTTCCAGATTGAAAAATCCTTAAATGCCTTTAAAATACTTCCCCCCCCCCCCAGCAAGGCATTCTTAAGCTGCTTATGCCTTTCCTTCTCCATTCTTCATACCTTCTGATGTAACCCAGAACAGAGCGTGAGAACTCTATTTCCTTTGTCAATTTAATTTTTGTTATACACAACACAGACTACACATCCAGCACTGGAAAACATATATTTAAAACATCACACTCCACAGGCAGAGAATATAAACTTTAAGCATTTTTATTTATAAAATATTTTCAATCATGGCTATAAAGACATGAACCTGCCCTGGATAAAACAGCTTCGTGCTATGAAAAAAAAAAAAGGAAATCATGACGATAAAGCAGAAGATCAGTTTTTACCTGAGTAGGGGGTGTTTTCCTTCAACTGCAATGATTCAATTAGCCGAGCCTGAAGAGGCCCGAGAACTCAATAGAATGGACGTAAAGCAGAGCCCCATTTGGCTGCAGAGGGGAATTCTTTTTGCTAACGAGCTAAGATGCCACTCTTCTGCATTTACAAAACCTAGTTTTTAAGCCTTTCATGCGCCCCGCTTATCCTTGCCTGTAGTTTGACAAGCGTGGCTGCTGCCAGTTCTGAGCCGCCCGCCGCCGCTGTGTTAAAGCTACAGGGGGCGACCGGGGTGGTGGCAGGGTCACTCTGACTCCTCTGGGTTGCACTACATTCAAAGCATGAAATGCCCATTATTTTGCAAAGCCAGAGGACTCAGCCCTGTGACAGGGAGATCCAGAACCCCACTTCGTTCCTCGTACATGACACTAAGGGAAGTGGGTCTGGCTCCTCCCCTTACTACCAGGTTTTTACAGCTGTTTTGATCGACTAGTAAACTCTAGGAGATCTTATCTCTCAAGTGGAATGCTTTTCTTGGAACCCCAAAAAACTATAGGCATAATTCTAAACATCTTGTCTTGTCTGCACACAGACATCCCACAGCTTTCTGCTACTGAAATCGAACCCAAAAGCTCATTCTGAATTATACTGGGCTGTCTTAGAACTTGGGAGAATTAAAAATTAAATCTGATGGCGTCAAAGAAACAAAATCATGGAACAAGTGGTCTCGAAATCAGTTTCCTGGTTTCAGCAGCTTGGATTGATGCGACTTAAACTTCTTTTGGGATAATAAATAACAATTCACATTTCTGAACGATTACTCTCTATGCAAAGTAGGGATGGGAACTAAGTAAAAATTGTGTCTCCCCCCCAAAGGATAACCCCCCAATAAGTCCTGCTTTCCAAAGTTGATTCCTCAGATTCAGACAATGCATCATCAACCTCGGAAGCAGGAGTCGAGCCAAGCCAGCCGCAATCTAATATGGAAATGTGGTCCTGGCCCCAGCACTGTGTTGTTCTTCTGAATGGGCTCACCTGCACCCTTCCCTCCTAGGAGAAAATTTCAAACAGAGTTAGCTCCTTAAACCTTCTAATTAAAATGAGAACTCCCCAGGCTTCCATGACTCAGCCTCAGAAAAAGATTATTAGGAATTTAATGGGGGAAAATATAGCATCCCAGACCATCTGTGACCCAGGGCTCTGTGCGAATTTAAAGAAAACTGGAGGGAGGCAGCGCACACTCCAACGCACGCTGGAGGAGTGCTTTGTAGGGCTGCAATAAATCAACATAGTTAGAGTACAGCCTTTTTCAGATTTAATTACTGTTACATAATTATTAGCAAAGCATTCTCCTCTGAAACTGTAAAACTCATTACATCAAAAATCCCCAAGCTCCTGATGGAATTTATGAACTAGTTCCTTCCTTCCTAGCTCTGGGAAAACCGTGGAATGGAGTCCAGATTTGTCTCCAGCTTTTTAGGAGCGGAGGGGGACTCCTCCCCCCAGCCTGGTTTGCGCCACTTACATGGGTTTCTGAACTGAGCTTTTTATGGCTCATTCTCTTAGACATTTCTGTGCAGTCTCACCTAATCCACGAGTGCAAACGATTGTGTTCCACTGCCAGGTAGAAAGTATTGAGCAAAGGAACTTCCAAGTCTGCTGATGAGAAGTTGGCAAATTTTCAAGAGAATCTGAGAGAAATGGTTTTTAGGTGTCTATGATTTTTTTTTTTTTTTTGAGTGTTCAGAGCAGGTAACCGGGCCTACCTCGGAAAGGCAGATGCCAACATGGCAGGGATGTATTTACAGTTGTTCAATAGACTGTCAGGGTACCCCAAGTGATGGCATCCCATCGAACTGGCCATGGCGAGTTTTCTAATAATCAAGGCTTTTTCAGTGCTACTACTGTGTTCACCGATGCCATAGTGCAAATGTCACTCGTGTTGACTATCCAGCTCTAGCGGACATCCCAGAATAAATCTTCAAGGACGTATATGCGCAATAAATGTCAACAAAACCAGGCTTCTTTAAAGTCTACCTTTGGCTATGGTGCTTGTTCTTGGAAGAGGGCTCCTGCGGAATTGGGACTGCTTGAGCAGGCAGTTGAGAGCATCCAGTAGGAGCGGCTCACTCTTGTGTGGGTCGGCGGCTCTCTGGGATCCTTGCTCCTTACCTGCAGAGAACAGCAGCTGCAGGAAAAAGCTTTGCTCCCACACTCCGAATATCCAGCCAGATGTTTTCTGTTGTATTTGGAAGCTCTCCTGGGATTAGCTCATCAGAACGAGAGAAAGATAAAGGCAGCTGAGGCTTGACAGTCAACTGCCTTGTACCTACTCCCTCTCTTTCTGCATGCCTACTTAGCGACTTCTTGCCAGCCCCAGACAGCCTCAGTTTCTCTCTGGGGAACCCATAGCCCACACTCCTGCAGGGTTTCCCACTGGTCTTGCTGCTTGGAACCATCCGTGCTGCCAAACTAAATGACTCCTTACTTGGCACACACCTGCCTTCTCCGTGCCTCTGTTCTGGAGAGGCAAAGGTTTCTGGTGCAGTGGTAAGGTCTGAGGGTCTGGTGTGGTGTTCGGGGCTTGACCCTGGGAACTTCAGGTTGTCCAGTCTTTCTGCTTTCCTTAGTAACCTGTCTTTATCAACACTTTTACTACTTGCTTTGTTTTCAAGGTTGCCTGCTCTTTCTTTTTATATTCATGAAAATGTCATAGCTGCTCAGATGGCTTAGTGAATAATGTATGGAAAGTCATCTTTTGTCTCCATTGTTATCTCTGTGATTTCGAGATACGCATCTTCTATTTGCTAATTATCCTCTCCTCTCTCTCTCTCTCTCTCTCTCTCTCTCTCTCTCTCCCTCATGCAGAAGTTTTTCTGGCATGGTTGACTGTTCTTGTTTCTAGTACTGAGGACTTTCTATAAGCTAGATTGTGAAGGAGAGTGAAGCTTCCTGTCTGCCCAGGGAGGTCAGGCTTTTTTGTTTTTTTCTCCAAGACTAAGGTAACTTTCTCTTGCTTACAAAGACCTAATTTTGGTGGCCATGAGGTGAATGTTGCTTGCTCCTACTTCCTCTTTTCATTTGTTAATCCTCTCTCTAAGGTCAGAACTGTAAAACTGGTTTAACTCTACAACCCAATGCCAGCTCCTGGGGCTCAGAGGTGACGGACCTGCCATAACTCATTTTTTGGTCCTTTAGTTCATTACCTAGCTGGCCTCGGTTGCCAGCCCTTGTTGGAAAACTGCTTTGGGGTTGGAAGCCAGCGCAGTTTGGATGGGTGCTCATGGGATATGGTAGTCTGTCCCTTCCTTGGAAAAGCTGTAGTCTAACATTGTGTGGGTTTTTTTTTTTTCCTGTTACAGATTTAAGGATTGTTCTCCATTCTCATCTGCTGGTGCTACAATGCCCACATTTCTGTCATGGTTGAGTTCCATCTTCCAGCCTCTTCCCAAAGGCTCGTGGGAGAGCAGGAGAAAGTGGCACCGACGCCTGGCCTCGGCAGTCTCTACCCAGAATCCTCCCTACCCTCTCTTACGGTATATGTATGGCTATGAGTTAGCAAACCAGAGTTGAACTGTGTTGCCCAAAGACTATGTTCACTTCAATGGCCTGAAAGTATATGTTTAATGAAACAGTATTAATCACATAAAATACCAAGAGTTTGTGGCGAGAAAACCTAGCTCATCATGGCCTGCCCGTCTTCTTCACATTTCCTAACTTGAAATCGAAAAAAAAAAAAAATCTACTTTCATATAAGCTAATAGGGCTTGAGACGCATCAGAAAGATCAAATTCCTATTTCTTTTTTAAATTACAAAAGCTTTTAGAAAGTTTTAAGTGACTTTTATTTGTATTTTAGTAGGAAATCAATATGAAATAATCTATGAAACCTTGTGGTGCTAATAGTCTTCTTTTTTCTTTTTTGAAATCTTTGTGTCATGAGCGCCTCATTCTTCATAGTAATTGACCGTAAGACTGAAATCAGCTTAGCTTTATGTGTGATACGGAACTCCTGTTTCCCTTTCTAAAGCATGATTGTGACAGGACCAAGCTAGTGGGTTTTTTTTTTTTTTATAAATTTTGATTAAATGTATGCAAACATTTGAAAACATTCTGCTAAGTCTATTTTTGTTGTTTGTGGGTATATGGTTGGCCAATCATATTATGCTGGACAACCAATTAGGGGACTTGTTCCTAGGGGAAGACAATTCTCCTTTTCCCAGCAGTCAATGTTGTCTGTGTTTCTGTAGGACTCTAGATCTTTCCCCTTCCAGATTAGCATGTCTGCTCTGGCTGTCATTGTTCTGTGAGACAGTCCCTTCAGGCTAGTTCTTAAGCAGAAGGATGTATAGTAAATATGATGAGGAAAGATTCTACTTTCCAACAGAATTCTGTTAGGCCAGGAAATTCTAAGCTATTATTGTGAATAATCAGTTATGGACCTGAGAGTCTGTGCTGTCATCATGTGATTCATCTATTTCCATTTTATTGCCATGACAATTTGCCACTTGGAAAGTTATTCTGTTTTTGTAGTTGTTTTTCATGGCGTGTAAGGTGGACGGAGGAGGTACAGTGTAAGTCTAGAATTCCAACGTCCGACTGAGAGGATAAACGCCATACTTTAAATTGGTCAGCGTGGCAACGCCGAGAGAGCTTAGCGGCTTGCAGCTGAGACTAATCTTCGCTACACTCCTGGCTAATTTGATATCCTGCTTGCCATGATCTCCCATCAGCATGACACTGTGTGACCTGTTAGTGTCTCAGCCATAGTGTGACCAGGCTAGGGACAAAGCAATTTGTTCAGTCAGACCTATTTGGTTCCCATCTGACTCAGGCTTTACAATAACTCATCTTGGCTCGATCCAACTTTATTTTATCACAGTCTGAAGAGAAGATGCTTGATTAAAAAGTAACAAGTAACACAACTTCAGCGCTGATTCTGGATCAGGTGTTACTGTCAGTAATTAAGTCTCTTACTTCATTTATCCCTCAGTTGACCTGTAGGAGGCAGAGGCAGTTACCACTGGGTTACACGTATGTGGGGAAACTGAGGCCCAGAGAGAATAAGACACAAGACTGCTGTATCAGGGAGCTAGGGTCTTATTCATGTGGTGTGTATCTCAGTCTATATTTTTATCATTCTTGTTTCAAAAAATATAACTGTGTCAGAATGGTCGTGGATATCTTTAATCTCTACACTCAAGAGGCAGAGGCATGCAGATCTCTGTGATTTCCAGTCTAGCCTCTTCCACACAGTGGGTTCCAGGTCACCCAGAGCTACATAGATCTTATCTCCAAAAAAGTTTTTTTCAAAAAAACAAATGAAAAGTATAGCTGTATTTAGAATTTTAGGATCTATCTGTTGCCAGACAAAAATGCTGACTGGGTCCAAATAGCAAATAAATTCAATCTTTATCATGAACTGAAGACTCTGTATAGCCAAATATGTTTTGTATTTATCCAACTTGGGAAGGAATTCCACATTTCAACTAGTGATATCTGTTGCTCATTTATTTTTAGTCCGTGTTGACTGCTGCCTTCTCTTAGTCTGAATACATTGGCCTTTTTGATGTTTCTGTTCCAGCTTTAACAATACCTTTCTCTATACCTTTCAACCTTGGAGTCTTTATACCTGCTTGAACCTCAACTAGCCTCCATGGCTTGGCACAGCACTTCTTGGCACTGTGTCTATTTCTGCTCTAATCTAGATGTTGTGCTGGGTTTGTGGACCTGAAAAAAAAAAACCCAAAGAGACTCAAACCTGAAAACTGTGCAGTCATACACCAAATGAGCACACACTTAAGTGAGAAAAGGAAAGTCAGCAAACTAAACACTACACATTTTACAAAGTCAGAAATGTGTATGTATACTATTTAATAGCTAGTTGATGACATTACAATATCCCTTCCTCAAATATTTTTTGATGAATCATTTTCATTTGCTTGAGAATTTTTAATAGAAAAAGAAACCAGTCTTTCCTCATCCTTAGCTGGTCAAAACATTGCTTTTGTTTAATGGTCCATAATTTTTTATCTGCATTTCCTATGTGCGTAGAAATAAATTTAATGATTAGCAAAGACGATATTGTTCACATATGTTCAAATCAAGATTTGACAATCTTACATTTGTTTATTGCACATCCTAAAATAGATTTACACATAGCAATTAAAATGAATTTTTCTTTTAAGTTTTATCAAATGTGCTATTGTGTCGCGGGGGATGCTGCACTGAGACATGGATGGGGCTAAAAGTGTCACTTGTAATGACACAGCGTGATCTTTGGAAGGACTTTCCACTAGCTAGCTTGTGGCTTCTTGGCTTCCCTCCAGTACCACACATGGCAGATACTGGAGGACACACTCCTGGTGTGACCTGACCTCTGCTACTGTGGCTTTGTCCATCAGTACAGGGTTAGTCCACAGAGGGTGCAGAAGAACATTTCCAGGGAAGCCGCATCTAAAATCTGAATACCGTTTTCTGTCCTGTATAACATGTAGAGGATGGTGGACCATAGAGCTAACCACAGTGATAAATAATGGACACCCACATGAATGTATCGGAGTTAATGAAAACTAAATGCACCCCCTAACTGTGTCTTCTTGGTCAAGCTCCTAAAACGTCAAGAGCATTCAGTGAAGAAGGGCTAAAGAAATGTTGGATGGAGCAGCCAGGAACCCCAGGTCCTCAAGCCCACAGATCAGAAAGCTCACAGAGATGCTATCCCAGCTTCAGGAGGATGAGTCAGTAGGATAAACATGATGGGGCTTGAACAGGCAACCATACTGACTGCTCACATTTATCGGTGCAAGGGGGATGGTGGACAGAGCCCCAGAATTTACCGCTTGCTGCAATCCTGCTCCTCAGTAAAGATCTCAGAGCAAGGTTGCTGCCAGATAATCAGGGTGGACGCCCAAAATGCCTGTGATCACAGAGCTAAATGTTAGGTGTCAGTGAAAAGAGATCATCCCTGGGAGAAAGGAGACAAATATATTTGGGAGGAGAGGAGCAGTGGCATCAAGCTAAAGGGCTTTACCACCACCTGCATCATATCACACTCAGAGAGACGCCGTTAGAGCACATACAACATAGGACCCTGCAAACAGCCAGACACCTTCTTATTACTCATCATTGTTGCCTGGTAACGACCATCGATCATCTTCTTAATTTAGTACAAATACTGTGTCCGACAGAGTCCTGGGCCAAAAGACTGAAAGCCCACATTTTAAATCCCAAGAAGTTGACCCAAACATCAGAGTTTTAGGAAAACCCAGGACAGCAGTCCTTGTAAGAGAATGAAGCAGTCTTGGTTAGCATCATCTCTCATATTTGCCATTCAGTTTTCTGTACTCAGCCATGCAGCCCCTCGTTTCAGCATGAGAAGGCCTGGGTTTGATATTCTGCTCACGCTGATTTATGTGGCTTTCTGGCCGCACATTGGCTGGGATGGCTACTGGGAGGGAAGATGGGAGCCACAGCAGGACTCTGTAGTGTGGTTACCTGCTCACTATGAGTGCCTTCTGCCCCCTTAGCTCCCTGCACAGCGATCTGCCCTTCCCAGCTCAGTTTTCCTTCCATCCAGATAGCTTGGAAGTGCTCACTGGTCCTCCTAAGAGTCTCTTTGTGGATTCACCGTTCGTGCATTCGACTCTACACGGTGGCTCAAGTGCTTGGTGTGTTTGCGAACAAATAAGAAATTGGTACAGTAAACCCAAGAAAACCCACCTTTATCTTCTGTGACAGGAAACTTGGTCAAGACACAGGGCACATTCTGGATAGATAAGTAGATTGGGCTTGGCACTCATTGTGTGCCTGCTGCTCTAAGAATGTTATAGTGGATACTACGAGGACCAGGACTTACAGTCTGACTGAAAGCACACAGCTTCGCGTGGATCCTTTCAGGACTTGAATGAGTCACAGAGGAAGTAAATACAGTATGGAGTGCTAGCTTACATTCCCACCCAATCAAGACGGGATGAGGAACACTTGTTCAGTCTAGGGAAGTGTGTGAGTGTGGGTCGGCTATTCTCTTCTCATTCTCTGAAGTTTCCCTGTTCAGTGTCTTTCCCAGCTCCTATAATGAGCCATCTACATATACTGGTGGTTGAGGTCTGTGACCAGCGGAGACCCTTACCTATATAATCTGGCTCTATCTCCAACGGGGTAGAGTTACAACACTGCCAAACACCGGTGCACTCAGGTGTGTAGTGAAATGTTTAGTGAAATTGGTTGATTCTTAAAATTATCAAGCAGCTATGATGCTGCATTCTTGGTTGAAAGCACTTCAAGAAAGTAACTGCACATGGACCTGTACTACTTTTAATAGTGAAAGGCAGGGAAAGGAGACTTGTCTGATGTGGAGACACTGGGAAGAGGTACACAGAGATTCAGTGAACCTCACATGTTTTACCGCCCAGCCTGACATAAAAGTCAGGTTTAAATAGAAGCTAGAAGATATGCTAACTAACCAGGGCTTTGAAAGTGTGGTCCCTGATCACCGTTGTCCCAGCTCGAATCCCTCTTGCAAGGTCAGTGGCCAGCTGTAAATCTTTCTCCAGGGGCAAGCTCCATCTCTGACTGTCTTGTTTTCCTCTGGGTGTGCCAGGGCTTCAACCTAGTTTTCCTCCAGAAGGAGGTTCCTGGGAGAATTCTAATTTCTTGGGGGTCATTTCTCCTAA